GGACTCCATCTCGGGGAAAAAAAAAAAAAAAAAGGAAAAGGAACAAGGATTTTCAGTACACACACAAGTATAAAATCAAATAAAAACTCTGTAATGTTATATTTGAAGAGAAAATACTAATGTAAACTTATGATTATTTTTCTTCTGAAAAATACATACTTCCTGGTTCTTTCCACTGAAAAGTCTTAGAAGCAATTATACCCCAGCAGCAACAAACACACCTAGCACTCAGATCGTGATTTTTAAACACCATTTCCACTGAACAGAACTAGGGTCAAGTGGGCCTGAGAACTGACTAGTAAACCAGACATCCTTTTAGTGGGAAATTTAGAAAGCAATTGAAGGAACAGCTAAATCTAAGTCTGGGACAGAATATATACAAGACGGGCTTGGACATCTTGATGTTGTCAGAAAGTGAGGAAACTACCAAAAACTAACTTTAAAAGGACATAGAAGCCAGCCTAAACAGGCTCTCATGGGCAAACAAGCAAACAAACAGACCAAAATAACATAAAAAGGATAAAAAAGGTAAAAAATGTAATTATTTAAAATTAAAAAAAAAAAATCTCATTGAATACCCTGGAAGTAACTTGGCCACCAACATCTTACTATGAAAATTAAAAGAATTAAACCTTTATTCTACATTTCCTGTATTTCTTTATGATCTATATTTATTTATTTATTTCATTTTATTTTTATTTTTATTTTGAGACAGAGTCTCGCACCATCGCCAGGTGCCAGGCTGGAGTGCAGTGGAGCGATCTCGGCTCACTGCAACCTCCACCTCCCGGGTTCAAGCAATTCTCCTGCATCAGCCTCCCGAGTAGCTGCGACTACAGGCGTGTGCCACCATGCCCAGCTCATTTTTGTATTTTTAGTAGAGATGGGGTTTCACCATGTTGGCCAGGATGGTCTCGATCTCTTGTCCTCATGATCTACCCGACTCAACCTCCCAAAGTGCTGGGATTACAGGCGTGAGCCACCGTGCCGGCCTATTTTTATTTTATTTTTGAGATGGAATCTTGCTCTGTTGCCCAGGCTGGATTGCAACGGCGCCATCTCAGCTCACCGCAACCTCCACCTCCCAGGTTCAAGCAATTCTCCTGCCTCAGCCTCCTGAGTAGCTGGGATTACAGGCACGTGCCACCATGCCTGTCTAATTTTTGTATTTTTAGTAGAGACAGGGTTTCACCATGTTGGTCAGGCTGGTCTCGAACTCCTGACCTTGTGATCCACCCACCTCAGCATCCCAAAGTGCTGGGATTACAGGCATGAGCCACTGCGCCCAGCCCTATGATCTGTATTTCAAGGCTACTAAATAATTTGTTGATGAGGAAAAGCTTTTTGTTTGTTTTTTGAGACACAGTCTTGTTCTGTCACCTACGCTGGAGCGCAGTGGTACCATCTTGGCCCACTATAGCCTCCACCTCCCAGGCTCAAGCAATCCTCCCACCTCAGCCTCCCGAACAGCTGGGACTACAGGTGTGCACCACCTTGCCTGGCTAATTTTTGTATTTTTTGTAGAGACAAGGATTCACCACATTGCCCAGGCTGGTCTCGAACTCCTGGGCTCAAGTAATCTGCCTGTCTCAGCCTCTCAAAGTACTGGGATTACAGGTATAAGCCACTGTGCCCAGCAGGAAATCTTTATAGAAGCATTTCAATTCATTGAATACATAGGTAATAATACAACTGAGAAATTGGGTGGGCGTGGTGGCTCATAGACCTATAAGTCCAGAATTTTGGGAGGCATAGGCAGATGGATCACCTCAGGTCAGGTGTTCAAGACCAGCCTGGCCAACATGGTAAAAACACATCTCTACTAAAAATAACCAAAAATTAGCCACTACAGGTGGCACATGCCTGCAGTCCCAGCTACTTGGGATGCTGAGGCAGAAGAATCCCTTGAACTCGGGAGGCAGAGGTTATAGTGAGTCAAGATCGTGCCACTGCTCTCTAGAGTAGGCGACAGGGCAAGACTCTGGCTGGAAGTAAATAAATAAATAAAGACAGACCTGGAAAATCACCATTTGTGGCTGGGCATGGTGGGTCATGGCTATAATCCCAACACTCTGGAGAGCAGGAGGACTACTTGAGCCCAGGAGTTTGAGACCAGTTTAGGCAAGATGGTGAGACCTGGTTTCTACAAAAATTAGTCACATGTGGCACTGCATGCCTGTAGCTGTTTGGATAGCTAAGGCAGAAGGATCCCTGGAGCCCAGGAATTCAAGTAGTGGTGAGCCATGATCACACCACTGCACTCCAGCCTGGGCCACAGAAAGAGACCCTATCTCTATAAAAAAATAAATAAAATTTTAAAAATTAGCCAAAACATGGGCCACATAGCAAGACCTTGTCTCTACTAAAAATTTAAAATTTAGCCAGGCATGGAGGTGCATGCCTGAAGTCCCAGCTACTCAGGGGACTGAGGCAGGAGGATCACTTGAGCCAGGAGTGCAAGGCTGCAGTGAGTCATGATGGTACTACTGCATTCCAGCTGAGTGACAGAGGGGGACCCTGTCTCAAAAACCAAAAAATTAAGGTATGGTGGCAAATGACTATAATTCCAGCTACTCGGGAGGCTGAAGCAGGAGGATGCTTAATCCAGGGAGGTCAAGACTACAGTCAGTTGTGATTGTGCCACTGTACTCCAGCCTAAGTGACAAGAGTGAGATCCTCTCTCAATTAAAAAAA